TATATATTTTATCCATTTTCAGCAGAAAATTACTCAAACTTAGTCAGAATCATCTTGGGTGAATGAGAGTATTACTTTGTAAAATTGGGATTCCTGCCCCATCCCCAGGGGCTAGGGCGGGGCCCCAAAGGGAACATTTACCAATATTTTCAAATTCTTATCCATTGATGACATGACAAGTATTGTATTTCACTTAGTTTACATGCTGATTTCCACATCACATCTAAACAATAAAATAAAGCTACCAGTACCTATGATATAACTCAGGTGACCGCTAAGGCCCTTGGGCCTCTTGTTAGCTCACCTGCCCAAAGGGCAAGTAGGCTTATGTCATGGTGTGGCGTCCGTCCTCGTCCGTCAACTTTTCCTTGAGTGGACAGGCTTAGAATCATGATATTTGACTGAAGGCTTTGTTGGTAGGAGCCTGACAAAGTTTGAGAAAGAAAATGACCTTGACCTACTTTCAAGGTTACGGGGGTCAAACACTTCAAACGTCCTCTTCTGAAGAACTAAAAGGTATAGAATCTTTATCAGGTTTACTGAGCTTTGCTCAAGTGACTATTCTAATCGCTTTCCGTCCATCGTCGTGCTTCGTGTGTAAATTTTTAACATTTTCAACTTCTTCTCAAGAACCAGTAGATGGATTTTTTTTCAAACTTGGTCAGAATCATCCTTGGGAGATGAGGCTACAAAATTGTAAAATTGGGATTCCTACCCCAACCCCTGGGGCCAGAGCAGGGCCCCAACGGGAAAATTAACCAATATTAAAAAATCTTCATCTCCAGACTCCGAGGTACTACATTCGGTCTTGCTGCATAAAAAGAAAGATCATCAGGGGCTTTATTTAAATTGTAAATTTGAGGACCCCCGAGCTATCTGTTCTTCCTTGGGGAGGGGGTTAAGTTTACTATAGTTTATATAGGGAAATAACACTTTTGGGTATATTTCAACAACTTTCTGTAGGATATTATTTTTACTTTGTGAGAATTATCCTTGGAGGAAGATGGTTTCAAATTGTAAAATCGAGATTCCTACACCTTGGTTCCCTGGGGCCCCAAAGGGAAAATTAACCAATATTTCAAAATTTTCTTCTCCAGACTCTGAGGTACTACATTCATTTTCTCTGCATGGAAAGAAAGATTATCAGGGGCTTTATTTAAATTGTAAATTTCAGTACCCCCGAGCTATCCTTTCTTGCTTGGGGAGGGGGT